CCTCTTCATCTGCCACTTTCATTATCATTTGCAATTTTCATTTTTTAAATTTCATGATTTTTTTTTGAATTAGTTAAATGCATACCTTATTAAATGCATAGAGTAGCATTTTATATAATACATAGATAGATAGATATAGATATATAGGTAGATATATAGATTCACACTTTTAGTCTTTCATGTTAAGCTAGTTTTGCCTCTTCGCCTACCTCATTCATTCATTAATTATTTTTATCATTTATAATTTTCACTCATTTGCCTCTTCATCTATCACTTTTATTATCATTTACAATTTTCATTTTTAAAATTTCAAGCACTTTGTCTTTTTTTTTTTTCTTCAATTAGTTAAATGCATACCCTATTAAATGCATAGAGTAGTATTTTATATAAAATATAGAAAGATAAATTTAGACCTATAGTCTTTCATGTTAAGCTAACTTTATCTCTTCATCTATCACATTCATTCATCATTTACTTTTATCATTTACAATTTTCATTCATTTGCTTCTTCATCTACCACTTTCATTACCATTTACAATTTTTATTTTTTAAATTTCAAGCACTTTCTCTCTTTTTTTTCTTGAATTAGTTCAATGCATACCCTATTAAATGCATAGGGTAGCATTTCAACACATGCAGTGCACATTATGCAACATAGAAAATGATGTATAGTGTCAAGAGCTGGTAATTGGGTGAGGTTTCCTTATTTTTCGAGAGATGAAATCCTCATTTTTATTTTTATTCCTTGTCAATTGTTTTGTCAATTGTTTTGTTATGTTTCTTCTTTTTTTTTTGTTTTTTTCTTTTAAATGTCTGTGATGTGCTGTTGAAATTTGAAAAAGAAACTCTTGTTTTGATTGAATGAAGTTGATGATGACTTTTTATTCATTGTATCACTACATAGTTTGATCAATTTATAAATTGCTTTAAAAGGCTTTTCTTCCTATTTTCCTGATCGAGAAAATGGTATTAGTAACTACAAATCAATGTGTAAAGTGATGTACAACTCATCAAAAAGTTGATATACATACCTTTGTGAACAATTATACTGAGTTGTGGGTATCTCACGGTCTGACCATGAAAAAGAAGAGATAGGTAGCTATCCATCCACCACCTTGATTTCCCAGCTTGCCAATCACATGTCCATTTTATCTTCTTCTTAAGACTTGTAATGGCAATGAGTTTTCTTCTGTGGGAACTTTGGAAAAGAGATCATGACCAAGTCCAATTACAACCCTACACCTTTTTAATACTAATGGTAGGACCATGGGCCCATTAAACCCATAGTTGAGACAAGCAGGCTGTGGAGCCTCCCAACTCAGCCCAAGATCAATATAAGGCTTAGATCATTCATTTGCTTCTTCATCTACCACTTTCATTATCATTTACAATTTTTATTTTTTAAATTTCAAGCACTTTCTCTTTTCTTTTTTTTTTCTTGAATTAGTTAAATGCATACCCTATTAAATGCATAGGGTAGCATTTTATATAATATATAGATAGATATAGATAATTTATTTATTATTAATTTTCTCTTATTATTCTTATTCCCTCAATATCATTTTTTAATTTGTTTACTCTTTATATCTTTATTTATTATTATATATCATTTTTACGTTAATTTCTCTCTCCACTCTTATGTGTATATTAGAATTGTTTAATTTTTTTATCTTAATAAATATATTAAAAGCCCGTAAAAACTGTACTTTACCATTTTCATACCTTTTTTTTTCATATACAATTTAGATTTTTAATTAAAAAAATATCAAAATAATATTAAGTTTTTCACAAAATTCTTTTTTATTCATAATTCTTAATATTTTAATAATTATTATTAAAAAAACATATTTGTCCATAATTATTTTTATATTAATCGTTACTTTATTAATTCAAAAATAATAAAACAAATAAGAATTAAATTACAAAATACCAATTTAAATGTATTTATAATAAACACATTACATACCTATAATATCTGCCACTTTGATTTGAACTCATCATTTATCATTCATAAAGTAATTTTATATTATTTGACCAAAGTGCGTCAATCTTATTTTTCTCCCTTTCTTTCCCTTGCCTTTGAAATTATTATGTTATTCTCCCATTTTACTTTATTGAATAACATTTGGATATTCCATCTCCAAATGTTGCTCACGACATTTACTTTCGATCTTTTTTTTCTTTTTTCTTTTTTTATCTTTATTTCATATTGACATTTTGATTTAACATGATGAGTTTTGTGTCAATTTATTACGAAAATTTCTTCTTCTTTTTTATCAACTATTATAAAA